AGTGCATGTTAATGGGACACCCCAGACAAAGGGGCACAGATCCCCAAAATCCAGATGTTGGCTGTTTCCAAGCCTTGGATGCCATTCTGAACCTCAAGGTAAGCAATGATTGCATCTTTTAAGCTGAGTGATATGATGGGAGAATTTGTATAATGGGTGTCCTGGATTTACCCCTCCTTCCTGACCAGGCCATTTTTTGCTTACTTTAACTGACAATTGTGTGGTCATGCAACACTGCACAAAAATAAATTTTACGTCCTTTTTTTCCCCACAAATAGAGCTTCCTTAAGTGGGATTTGATTGCCAGTGCGTTTTTTTTTTTTGTTTGCGCTATAAAAAAAGAGACAATTTTTGAAAAAAACTATATTTTTTACTATTTCCATTTCCAGTAAAAAAAAAATGTAAAACAAATTTCATCATAAATTTAGGCCAAAATGCGTTCTGCTACATGTCTCATAATCCCAATATGTGTAAATTAATGTGTTTACTTGAAAGTTATAGCGTTTACAAATGGCAGTGTATATATACTGAGATTTTTATTTTATTTTTACTAGTAATGGCGGCGATCAGCGGCTTATAGCGGGAACTGACTTGGTGTCACTGACATCCCCAGTGGCACCCATACAGTGATCAGTGCTAATAAAAAGCACTGACACTGTACTAATGGCACTGGGCAGGAAGGGGTTAACATGTGGGGTGATCAAAGGGTTAACTGTGTGCTGTGTTAGTACTTTCAACTGTAAGCACACTGCTTTGCATGGCTCTGCTATGCAGAGCCATGCAAAGCAGTGTGCAGGAGCTGACCGGGGAGAGAACCGTATTGTTTTACATACAGTTCTCTCCCTCCGTCGGTAATGCTCCTCGATCACTGGGTGTCGGCGAGTAATCACCGGACGGGACATGGTGATTGACAGCCGAGGCTGCGAATAGTGGCTCAGGTAGGGCGTGCGCGTGCCCCCCTCCTCGGAATTGCAAAATCACATATATACGTGATTTTGTGCACCCCTGCCCCCCTGTAGCAGTATATCTGCTATATCTTGCAGGAAAGCGGTTAATTACAGATTACATTGCCTTGGTCCTTCAACCTGTAAACACCATGCCATTGATGAAGGGAAGCTGAGGACTGATGTAAAGAGAGGGGTAAATTATGATGTGAAGGATCTCAGTCCTCACACAAACATGCTGTTCGGACCTCTGCTGGAAGAAAATATCAATGACTAGACCTGAGAGAATGTTAACAAATGCATTGTATTTTTTTCTTCCCCCCCCAAGTCCCTTTATTGTGTAGAGTTTAACCATCTTCTGTAAAGCTGTATGATTATTGTTCAGGTGAAATCTATGCTTGCAACCTCACATCAAGGATTTTCTTTAGTGTAATAGCATTATTGTAACTTTTTCTATAATCAACATGTATATTTGCCAGCACACCATGGATATTGAAACGGTGTCCCAAAAACATATATTCAAAGTGACCACATCACAGTAGAAGAGTGCTTCCTCAAATGCCTGACGTAGGGGTCCCGTGTGGCCCCAAAATGTTGCACCCTTCCACTGTGATGTAGTCACTTTGAATTAAATTTTTTCTTTTTTTTTTTAACGTTCTTTTGAGAGCCTTGGTTTGCTGGCAAATATGTGTTGGTCTGTGATAGTACCAAGCTCCATCTGGCTGCTGCTGCAGCATCCGTCTGTTCTTCAGCCTATTCCAGGATCGTGTGCGATCTTACTTTTATAGGGTTTTGTTTGACTGCAGACTTGTATTGTGGCCAATTGGCCAAATACACTTGAAGAAGCATTTTCTCCTCTTTACATCATAAAATACCAAATAGTGGAAAAACATTGATACATCCCCTTTCCACAAGGGGCTATATATAACGTCCCCACCTCATACAAAACACTTGTGAGTTGCTGGCCATTTCTATGGACACGTGGATGTTCTTGGCCTGATACAATTACAGAAAGAGAAGATAGTGCTGCTCCAGGTTGGCTCACCACTCCCACACTCCACAATCTTTTAGTGTGTGTGCTGGCCCGGTTAGCACACCTGTGCTGTAGATCAAAGGCCGCACTAAAACACATATCCACTTTATTGTGTGTAAAAATGCTTAAAAACACCATACTGTATTCCAGTTGGGGGGAAAAAGGTTCATGTGTATTGCGCTAACCTCGGCGCTTAATCAAAACCCACCAGTGGGTTATAATTAAGCGCTGAGGTTAGCCGGCGATACTGGTGAACCTTTTTTTTTTCCCCCTTTTTAAGCTGCTTTTCTATACAATAAAGTGGATATGTGCTCTAGTGCGGCCTCCCGGACTTTCCTTTTGATCTGATACAATAACACTTCATATTCCATTCTTTGATTTTTTTTTTTTCGTTTATTTTGCTCCTAGCTGCTCTCCGTATTGAACATGGTGTCTGGCCGTGTGCATATGTACCCAGTAACTGAAGGGGAGACACTGCAGTCTCTGAAGACCCGCGTACAACAGGACACTGGCATTCCTGAGGACGAGCAAGAACTATTACAGGCTTCAGGTCTGGCTCTGAATCCCCACCAACCTCTCGTACAATATGTGGCAGACAGCATGGTGAGGATGTGGGGACATTCATCCATCTCTGTTGCTTCAGTAGACATTCTTCAGGCAGAATAAACATTACAAGCTTAGAGCATTGACGCTTTAAGGCAGGGGTCTCTAAACTGCGGTCCTTTGCTTGCCTTTTTCTGGCCCTTGGGGTAGTATTCCTCCCATTAACACCAACAAGGAAGCACCATTTCTTCTAATGACATCAGTGGGGAACGATGTCTCTCACTGACACCAGCATTGGGGCATTTTTACTTCCACTGATGTAAACCATTAGGCCCTATTGCCCCCAGTGATACTAATGATGGGGCACTATTCCTCCCACTAATACCAATAATGGGACACTATTCCTCCCATTAATATGAATCGTGGAGCACTATTCTTTCTCCAAGCCCGAGACATTCTTTACTCCCACTGACACTGGGGCACTTTTTTATTCCCACTGGCCACTCTGGCCCCCCTAAAGACTGAAGAACAGTAAACTGGCCATTTTGTTTAGAAAGTTTGGAGACAGCTGCTTTAAAGTAAACCTGTATGTCATTTTAAACTTTTCAAATGAAGGACCACCAAGGCATGATAATACTGACATTCGCTAGAAAAATACTTCTGTGCCCCTCTGATTAAGTTTCAGTTTGTTACTGGTGTTTGACTGTCTGTCTCTAATTTCATGGGTCTTAACAATTGTCATCCTTTTGGTCACTGAAGCAGTCTCCTTAGACAGTGAGATGGGAGTTGGCATGGTGCAACAAAGTGAAACTAAACTAGAAAATTATACAGAAGAGATTTTTCTGGTTAAACAGACCATAGCAAACACATTGTATTGTCTATTTTTAGGCTGGACCTCTACTTTTTAAAACTTTCAAATGAAATACAGGTTTTTTTTTTTTTTATTAGTGTTGTAGTCTGTGGTGACAGTACCATTTTAAAGGGATCTAGAGATGGACAAAAAATATGTTGAATATTGAAACGGTAAATGTGACAAGCTTTTTTTTTTTTCACACAAAAGGTTTTCATGCTATTATTCACCCTAAATGAGCAGGGACTTGTTTAGGATCATCTTAGCATAAAAACATAGTGCAAGAAAAAAATCCTCACTTTTTTGTATGGGTTACTCTGAATATACATAGTTGTATGTTTAGTTTAGTTAGGTTGAAAAAAGACACAAATCCATAAAGCTGAGTCAATAGAAATATTAATAAATACAACAAATCTTGCATACACAAAGCTTTACACCCACAGTTGATCCAGAAGAAGAAAAAACATTTTATAGAGCATGGTCCTGTTTGCTTCTACAGGAATAAAAATTCTTCCTGTTCCCCCAAAAGGCAGTCCGTTATTACCTGGATCAGCAATCTACAGTGTTATTACTTTAAATATATTAAATATTACATAAATATACTATATAATAATCAATTTTTTTTCTATATGTGAATGCATTCAGCTTGTTTTTTAAACAATCTACAGAGCTAGCTAGAGAACTCCTGGGGAAGTCTTTTCCACATTTTCACAACTTTTACAGTGAAGAAGCCTTTCCTTATGTGGAGGTTAAACCTTTTTTCCTACTGATGCAGAGTACCCATTTGTCCTTTGCAGTTACCTTAAAGTGAAAAACTCTACACCAGGTTTACTATATGGACTCTTTATATTTACTATGTGGGCCACTAGAGTATGAAATCCCCCTTAAATGCCTCTTCTCAGAGGGAGACTGTAATTTTGATTTTTCCTGCATATAGGTGACAGACTGAACCAGGCATGTTGTGAGATTGCATCAGTCAGAGGTCTTCCATGCCTCCTTTTAAGGTGCCTTCTTAGCTGCTAGAGCAGGGGTCCTCAAACTTTTTAAACAGGGGGCCAGTTCACTGTCCCCTCAGACCGTTGGAGGGCCGGACTATAGTTTAAAAAAAAAAAACTATTAACAAATGCGGACACAGTACAGGAGATGACCAGAGACTGCGGACATAGTACAGGAGATGACCAGAGACTGCGGACACAGTACAGGAGATGACCAGAGACTGCGGACACAGTACAGGAGATGACCAGAGACTGCGGACACAGTACAGGAGATGACCAGAGACTGCGGACACAGTACATGACCAGAGACTGCGGACACAGTACAGGAGATGACAGAGACTGCGGACACAGTACAGGAGATGACCAGAGACTGCGGACCACAGTACAGGAGATGACCATAAGACTGCGGACACAGTACAGGAGATGTCCAGAGACTGCGGACACAGTACAGGAGATGACCAAGACTGCGGACACAGTACTTGACCAGAGACTGCGGACACAGTACAGGAGATACTGCGGTACAAATGCAGAGACTGCGGACACCAGGAGATGACCAGAGTTGCGGGTACAGGAGATCTGACACAGTACACCTTCTGCTCACACAGTCTGGATGACCAGAGACTGCGGACATAGTACAGGAGTGACCAGAGACTGCGGACATAGTACAGGATGACCAGGACTGAGGGGACATAGTACAGGAGATGACCAGAGACTGCGGACATAGTACAGGAGATGACCAGAGACTGCGGACACAGTACAGGAGATGACCAGAGACTGCGGACACAGTACATGAGATGACCAGAGACTGCAGACCTACAACGGCGGTGGGAATACTGGGCCAGCCGCTCGTAAGACGCACAGACATTCCCCCCCAAGTGTGTCTTATGGAGTGAAATATGGGGTAAATGCAGGACACCTTGTTGGATCAGATCTGTGTACACTTCTCACACATCTGGGATGGGGGGCTGTCACCAGGATATGAAGGTGACTCCGGACTACACATCCAGGGAGGGGGCATTCCACAGGAGGACCGACACACTCCTCATATATGGAGTCCATCCTCATTATCAGTATTCACCCAAAACTCTCTGTGACCTTCATACATGGGGGGTCAGTGTATATAGAATATGGGGGGGAGAGGGGGGTTAGTGTAAATAGAATAGATGGGGTCATGGGGGGTCAGTGTGTATATAGAATAGATGGGGGGGGTCAGTGTATATAGAATAGATGGGGGGGGGGCAATGTATATAAAATAGATACACTGACCCCCCCCCCATCTATATCTATATATACACTGACCCCCCCCCCCCCCCCTTTCCCCACCTATTCTATATACACTGACCCCCCATGACCCCACCTATCTATATATACACTGACCCCCCATGACCCCATCTATCTCTATATACACTGACCCCCCCCCCATCTATTCTATATACACTGACCCCCCCCCATGACCCCATCTATTCTATATACTGACCCCCCCCCCCCCCCTCTCCCCCCATCTATTCTATATACACTGACCCCCCATGTATGAAGCAGAGCACAGAGAGTCTTGGGTGAATACTGATAACGAGGATGGACTCCATATATGAGGAGTGTGTCTGTCCCCTCCCTGGATGTGTAGTCCGGAGTCACCTTCATATCCTGGTGACAGCCCGGGGTCCCAGATGTGTGAGAAGTGCGCTCTCCAGACTAACTTGTCCCCTCCTCACCTCTCCTCTTCCAGGCTGGCGGACAACGTGTCACCCCGGGTGTAAATCCCACTGTAAATCCCCGGCCATCCCCATCCTACCTGATCCGATCATCACACACAAAGGAGCGGCGCTTTCCGGGCCCCATACACACACATGAAACTTCCGCAGCTTGGAGAGAGAGGGCGGAGAGACAGGACACTGCATGCGACCTGCCAAACCCTAGTCCCTTGCCTCGTGGCAGATACACCCCTGCCTGGCGGGCTGGATAAATGTCCTCGGCGGGCCACAGTTTGACGACCCCTGTGCTAGAGCTTACAAAATGTATCATTTAGCTTCCAGCTGACCTTTCAGGGTTCAGTAATCTGTGCACACAAATCAAGTCTATACAGATTTAAAAAAGGGTCAATTTCAGTGCTACCAATAACAATACAGATCATATATCCCTGTATAGCTTAATTTACTTAAAGAGGTATAAATTATACTATGGGTATTAAAGGTTTACCCAAAATACTACTATTATTGCCGTGTTTTCCTTAAAGCAATATTTTATATTTAGAATTATTTAAAGCTGAACTGCACTATTCAGCTACTTTGTATAAATTGCAGGCATGCCATGAGTCAAGTCCATCAAGTTGCTTGCCATCTCCTGGACTTATCTCTTTAATTTACATGTAACAGGTTTATTGTGCTCCAAGAGCATAGCTCCAAATGCTGGATGCTCTGGTCTCAGTCCCTGCAAGTGTAGAGGTGATGCAGCTGCTATGCCCACTCTTTCCCTCCTCCTGCCTAATTACAGAAACAAATGCTTATGTGAATGGGCAGCAGAGGTGAGGTGTGAGCATAACTGTTGTATGTGCTCTTCTTCTGTCAGAGCCCCTGGAGTGCTGTAAACCTGTCAGATCTAAATAACAGATAAGTCCAGGAGGTGGCATGTACCTCATTTGACTTAACTCATGGTATGCATTCACATAGTCTAAAGTGGCTGAATTCCTGTAGTTTAGTGTTTTTTGTGATTTTAGTAATAGGGATTTGTACAGGGAGCAGTCAGTTGCTCAGTCCTGTTAGAGATGTGTCAACAGGCTATTGATTGCATCGGAACTGCTTCTCTCTCTCTATATAAGGCAATGGGAATTAGAACAAGATCAACTGCTAAACCTTAACTTATGTAACATTATGTTTGCAATAGGTCAATGATGGGCGTCAGGGGGAATGTGACCTGATATTTCTCTTTGATAATCGGAAAACAGTGTATGAACCCCAGATTTCACACCGACCTCATCCTGACAGTGTTGCCTATGTTTGTGAGTATATCATGGGCTTTAAATAAAATGCAGACCAGGTTACATTTTAGACTTCCAGTGTGGGCCAATTCTGACGTTCCTCTCCTACATGAAAAAAACATAATTTTTTTGCTAGAAAACTACTTGGAACCCCAAACATTGTATATTTTTTGAGCAGTTTTTCAAACTCAATTTTTTTGTGAAAAATACACTTTAATGAATTTTAATGCACAAAAACACAATAGAATACCCAATATTTTGGTAAATTGTAAAAGAAGTTACGCTGAGTAAATGGATACCTAACTTGTCACACTTTGAAATTGCGTACTCCCGTGGAACAGCACCAAACTACGGTACTTAAAAATGCTTTAAAAGCCTTTATAGGTTACCAGTTTAGAGTTACACATGAGGTCTGGCACTAAAATTATCGCTCTTGCTCTGACATTTGCAGCGATACCTCACATGATCACACAACGGTGCGATCGCCGTTTCCATATGCGTGTGGGGGTGAAGCATGCGTTCACCTTTGCTCATGAGTACGGTGCGACACGATGATTTAATACTTTTCTTTTTATACTGTAACTTTATTTGTTTTTTTTTTATCACTTTTATTGCTATCACAAATAATGTAAACATTAGACCCCAGATCTCTCCTCTGGCCTCCAAAGCATCAGATCACACCAATATCAGTGTGATCTGATGTTTGTTGAAGCTGGTAATGGCTTCTTTACGGAGCCTGAATCCGTTCCTCCCACTGTGTCTTAGGAACAGGATGTCGCCGGATGCATCCATACCAGGTTCCCCGATTTTCATGGGAGAGCCCATTAAATGCTGGATGCTGGGGAGGCGGTGTGGAGACCCCCTTCTGCCGTCTACAAAAGTAATCCCGCTGCAGCGATGACCAGGATATTACCCTTCCTATCCAAGAAAAATAGTGGGTGTGGTAACAAGAAGTGCCATCATCCCTTACATACATGGAAAACCCTCTTTTTGTGGGATTTTAAGGCACAAACAGAGCATGTAGAATCATTAAATTTGTAAAAACTTTTGTAGAACCATATTTTATTTTACACAAAGTGTTAAAAATTCACATAGACATACAAAATATGGCAGTTATACATTACACATCTGTTACAAAGAATACACAGGTAGGAAAGATAATATAAATCAAGCGGGCACTTGACGCGTTTTGAGACCATGATCTCTTTTTCAGAAGTGCCTAAATAAAGCATGATGCATAGCCCGGCATTGGAGCAAAACATGGAAAAACCGCCAGTTATTAAAACCAAAAGGCATAAATGTAGCCACTGTCTCCGAAATCCTACCAGAGAAATGGAAAAAGAGGAAAATAAAAGAGGGAAGAACACCACCCCAGTAGTCTCCAAGAGTAACCACTTCTCGGTGGCACCAGGGTGATAGGCAGACATTCCAAGTTCATATTGGTTTTGGAAATGGAGATGTACCAATCATACTCTACATAAGGGACTAATATGTTGCCAGGGTCCAATAGCATGAGAAGGTTCCCTAATATTGCTGGATCAAATAAGCGGGAGAGATAGTCCCTTGTCCAATGGCTGCATGTGCACGGTTTTAATAGCTGGCGGTTTTTCCATGTTTTGCTGGGTGCATTTAGTATTTTTATTTTTTATACAAAAGGTAGACTATACCTTTTATTGTATTTTGAGAGAATGTGTAATTTTCAATCCCTTACAACTGTGTTTAAATGACTCCATCCTTCTTATGATCTGTTTCCAGTGCAGGAGCCCAAACACACTCTGTCCTATGTACAACTCCGCAGAGTGTGGGGACAGATCTGGCAGACAATACGAATGTTGAAAGAGGACTGTGCCAAGTTGCAGATGGGACAACGTGCCACTATGTAAGGCAAACACACATCTCCCCCATTACTCAGGCCTTCAATACTGTACTACATGCTGAATGACATTCACACACGCATGTGATTTCACTGTTCCCACATATATTATCAGTTGTGTTATCTATAGAATTGGTTTTGGGGTCAGATTACTGGAACATGGGAATAATATTTAAGTATTTTAGCACCAGATTATTTTTTTCCAAGATGGTCTGTTCACAAACATGAATATTGCTAAGGTGTGGAATCTTTATTTTTTTCCTTTGCAAACAGAATAGGCACGGTTTTAGAAACCCTGTCACCATAAAGGCAAAACCACCCTGTAAAAAAGGGTGTGATTGCCCTGGGTAACAAGCTAATGCTTTAAAGTGTACCTAAATGCAAGAACAAACATTAATAGTATTATTTCAATTTACCTGTCCTTAGATGTGGTGGTTGCTTTAGTTTTTCTATTTTTCTCAAACTGTCGTTTGCTTCATTTTAACACACTTTCTGTCCTGGGTGACAACCGTACGGAGCAGTGTGGTCACCCTAGGACAGGGAGTGTGTTAAACATAACATGACACTGTTTTAGGACTACATAACACCCCGTTCTCTTTTACATAACAAAGAGAGGTGTTTTGTGGTCCACAGTGATACTTACAATGTTTAAAATGCCTAGTGTTATATTTAACAGACAAAAGGTAGCAAATAAGCAACATGTATTGTTTACCTATGCTACTAAATGGGAGCCCATGGAATTTGTTGCATATGTGGTCCTGTTTCTGTGTTGTTGCTAACAAGCTGTGTATTTCAGGGTTAACCTACTACGATACAATACTGAGCTTTCCAAAAAGAAGAACCTCATGACCTCAGAGTGTGAGCAGCTAAAAGCTAAATTGGATTTTTTCCGCAGCAGTATCCAGATTGATCTAGAAAAATATAGTGAGCAGATGGAGTTTGGCATCAGTAAGTTATCACTATTAGAGAGTAATACCACCAGTAATGTTTGGGTTTACTACTGCAGCTTTCATGATTGACTCTTCCCTTGTTTCAGCCTTAACATTCTTCTGCTTTGCTTCGCTTCCTAATAACTGACATCTCTAAGCTTGACATTTTATTTATTTTTTTATTTATTTCAGGTACTTATATAACGCCGTCAATTTACGCAGCGCTTTACATATATATTGTACTCACATCAGTCCCTAACTCTCAAGGGGCGTACAATTAAGGTCCCTAACTCACATTCATATACAAGGGTCAATTTAAACAGGATCCAATTAACCTACCAGCATGTCTTTGGAGTGTGGGAGGAAACCGGAGTACCCGGAGGAAACCCACGCAGGCACAGGGAGAACATGCAAACTCCAGGCAGGAGGTGCCAGGGCTGGGATTCGAACCAACGACCCTAATCCTGCCAGGCGGAAGTGCTAACCATTTAGCCACTGTGCTGCCCCATGCGTTTTATAATCTGAATGTGCAATCTATTTTAGGTCAGTCAACAGTTATGTAGGAAAAGCCTTCCTGATTGTTAGCTGTAAACAACAAGCACATACTTGAAAGATAAAAACACTTAACTTTAAGAGAGAAAATTTTCCAAGGCTGAGGCTTGGTTCACACTGATGTGTTGTGATTTGCACAGGAATCACACCGCATTCCTTCGCAAATTCGCTTGCGATTCTGCAGCAGTGTGATTTGAGCCATTCATTTTATATGGCTCAAATTGCACCAGATCTGCACCAAAATCATGCAAGACCATTTTTTTTTGCCCCAGAATCCGATTGCATGGATGTTCACACCCACCGGATCCGATTTTGCAAATCTTGCTGCATTTTGAGAATGGATTTTATGGTGTCGTTTAACGTACACATGCATAGTGGTTCGCGTGATTTTGATGTGGTGCAGGAAATGTACAGAAGTCGGTGCGATTTGCACCGAATCAGTGTAAATCGAGCCTCAGGGCTTCTCTTGCCTAGAGGGAAGAAAAATCTTAGACATAGGAGTGGCTGTAGATATAGTATACTTGGATTTTGCAAAAGCGTTTGACACAGTTCCCGCACACGGCTGTTGTGTAAGGTAAAGTCTACAGGCTTGAAAAAATCTGTTTGTAAATGGATAGAAAACTGGCTAAAAGATAAAATTCAGAGAGTATTGGTTAGGACTTAATGACTGATACTGTGTACGGTGTAAGGTTATTAGTGATGTACCTAAGTTCAGTGTTGAGACCCTTACTTTTTAGTATTTTTATAAACAATATAGGGTCTTAAATTTATAGTACCATTTCAGTTTTTGGAGATGACACCAAGCTATGCAGTGGAATAACAACTATACAGGTTGTCTCCAGTTTACAAGCTGACCTCACTGTTAAGTTGGGCAGCTTTGTGGCAATGTAGTTTAATGTTGATAAATGTAAAGTTATGCTCATGGGAGCTAAAAACATGCATGTATCGTACATACTAGGTGGAGGACAACTGGGGGAATCAATGGTGGAGAAGGATCTGGATGTTCTGGTAGATCACAAGCTTAATAATGGCATGCAATGCCAAGCTGCAGTTTCTAAAGTGAGCAAAATCCTCTCTTGTATTAAAAGAGGTATAGACTCCAGAGAGAGAATACCATTTTGCTTCTGTAAAAAATCATTATTAAAACTTCATCTGGAATATGCAGTTCAGTTTTGGGCACCAATTCACAAAAAGGATATCGGGAAACTGAAGAAAGTACAGAGAAGGGCAACCAAACTGATAAGAGGCATGGAGGAGATCAGCTATGAGGAAAGATTAGAGGAACTGAATTTATTCTCTCTTGAGAAGAGGAGATTCAGAGGGGATTTGATCAACATGTATAAATACATAGATGCTCCATATAGTGAACTTGATGTAGAGTTATTCACTTTTAGGTCATCACAGAGGACAAGGGACCACCCTTTACTTCTGGAGGAAAAGAGATTTAACTACCAGATACAGAAAGACATCTTCACAGTAAGAGTGGTGAAAATGTGGAATAGACTTCCTCAAGAACTGGTTCTGGCCAGCTCCGTAGACTACTTTAAAAAAAAAAAAAAAAAAAAAAAAAAAAAAAAAGAGCCTGTATTCTTTCCTAAATGCACAAAATATAACTGGATTTTAATATTTATAGGTAAAGTTGATCTAACTATATAACTTCAGTTAGGTGTTTATATTACATGGTTCTGGTTAAATCTAAAGGTTATCATACAGAGATTGTGCGGTCATATTGCAATATGTATATTAAGCTTTAAAAAAGTATTCATGGGCTGTGTGATGCTGAATGCTCAGTGTGCAGCTGTTGTGAGAATTGTAGACAAGCTGAGATCTCTGATGGAATGCTCCCTTTTTAAAAAGTAAAGTTTTGGGTTTTGTACATCATTTTTATCATCCTGTTTGTAATTAAATTTCTTGGATATGTATTTTTCGATATGCTGCGATGCTATTTTGATGTTCCTCTTCGTGAGTACCTTCGTTATAGACAGATTAGGCACTTTTTTTAATGCGCACTTTGGCCTTACCCCATCTTCTCCGATCTCTTTTTTTGAGCGTGTCAGCCGTGACTCTCCTAGAGGTAGGGGTCTTATTTCAGATCTTTATCACCAATTTTTGATCTGTCTTTTTCATGCTCCTCCTATGTAACAGGCAGAGGTGGGAGGAGGATTGTGGTATCACTTTTTCGGATGAGGATTGGGACTCCATGGTGGATAATATATGCAAGAGCTCTAGATCTCTTTCGGTTCGTGAGACGGTCCCCTTAAAGTTTTAACCAGATGGTTACTCCGTCCAGACTACATACAATGTTCCCACAAAACATCCCCTTTATGTTTCCGGGGCTGTGGCCGCACAGGTACTTTGGTCCATATGTTTTGGGATTGCCCAAACATATCTTTGATCTGGCGTAAGATATCTGAGGTGGCTACCTCACTATCGGGCAACCCGATACAGTTGTCTATACAGACCTGTTTTATTGGGGGTTCATATCCCAGGGGTCTCTGATGCCACTCTGAGATTGCTACATACATTATGTATTGCCACTTTGTGGTCCATTGCCCTGCATTGGCGGTCTAATGCTGTACCCTTGGACTCTGTTTTACACAGAATTGACGCTGTAATGCTTATGGAACGTATTCATTATACACTACTGGATAAGATGCACTTATACGATAAAAAAATGGGAGTCATGGAAGGATTGTAGACATTTATTGCATGATTGACAACATCCCGGTAAAGAATGGCTGACATATATTGTTGATAGCTGTATCACTCAATCTGTTTTATCATTTATGTATCTCATGCACTCATAACTTTCTTTCTTCCTCTATCTTCTTTTTTATGTTAATATACTTTTATGTATTGTACGGTTCAAATGTGCCATATTTTTGTTGACAATATCACTTTCATACTGTGCTGTTGTTTTTACTATCTACTTATGTACAATAAAATCGTTTGTAAACACAAAAAAAAAAAAAAAATTTCTTGGATATGTATATAAAATTTTGATAATTGGCCATTTTGCTTCTCTTGCCTTCTGGGAGGGTGAAAACAGCGATACATTTCATAAAGGTATAGTTTAAAAAAAAAAAAAAAAAAAAAAAAAAAAATCGGCTAGTAGGTGAGGACTACAGCAGAAAAAAACTTTCATTGTGGTCCCTTAACCACGCACTTCATTTAACCACCTTCCGCCCGCCCTATAGTACAATGACGGGCGCAAGGTGGGTTTCTCTCGTTCTGATAGGACGTCATATGACATCCTACCATTCTCACTGCGCATGCACGGCTCAAGGAGCGCGCAGCGCGGCGATTGCCGGTACAGCGGATCACGGAAAGAGCCGAAGATGTCGGCTCAGTCGTGTGATCAGCTGTGTCCAATCACAGCTGATCACATGTAAACACGGAAATGCCTGTTATCGGCATTTCTCTCTCCTCTCGAGCTGTCACGCTGACAGCTCGAGAGGAGAGGAGAGCCGGTAATCGGCTTTCCGCGGAGGGGACATGTACACTGATCATCAGAGCACTGATGATCAGTGTGGCCCCAGAAGTGCCACCTGTCAGTGCTCATCAGTGCCACGTGTGCCCATCAATGCCACATATCAGTGCCCATCTGAGCTGCCAGTCAGTGCCACCTATCAGTGCTAGTCAGTGCCGCCTATCAGTGCCATATATCAGTGTCATGTATCAGTGCTGCCTTTCAGTGCCCATCAGTGATGCCTGTCAGTGCCCAACAGTGCAACCTACCAGTGCCTCCCCATCAGTGCCACCTATCAGTTTCCATCAGTGCAGCCTATCAGTGCCCATCACTGCAGCCACATTAGTGCACATCAGTGAAGGAGAAAAATCACTTATTTACAAAATTGTATAACAAAAACTAATAAAAAACGGGTTTTTTTTTTTTCAAAAATGTCAGTGGTTTTTGGTTTAAGAAAAAATAAAAATCCCAGAGGTGATTAATTACCACCAAAAGAAAGCTCTATCTGGCTCAAAAAAATGATAAAAATGTCATATGGGTACAATGTTGCATGACCGCGCAATTGTCATTCAAAGTGTGACAGCGCTGAAAGCTGGAAATTGGCCTGGGCAGGAAGGGGGTATAAGTGCCCTGTAGGCTAGTGGTTAAAGTAATTTCATTTCTGATACCTTGCTTCTAATCGGGCTTTATGTAATGGACTGTTTTTTTTTTTTTGTTTTTTTTTTTCTTCACTGTCCGTTAATGCTTACATTATCCTATCTCTTTTCAGCCTCTGAAAAGCTGCTGTCTACATGGAAAGAGATGGAGCAGGCAGTTGAGCTGTGTGGAAGAGTAAGTGAACTCATTCTGGATTTGAATCTGCATCACAAATTCTTGATCAGGGGTCTCCAAACTATGGTCCTCCAGCTGTTGAAGTACTACAAGTCCTATCAGGCCTCTGCCTCTTGGAGTTTTGCCTGTGGCTGTCAGTCTTGCAAGGCCTCATGGGACTTGAAGTACCTCAACACTGGAGAGCCATAGTTTAGAGACCCCTGTTCTAGATGATTTGTCCATGTTCAATATATTTGCTGAAGTGTAAGGAATAAATTTCTTCAACTTGGTTCTATAACCCACAGTTGACAGACTGATGTTTCTTAAAGTAGAGCTCCACCCAAAAGAGGAAGTTCTGCTTTAAGGCTTTGTTCCCCCATCCCCGTTAAGGATTGGCACCTTTTTGGGGAGCAGGTACCCAAATTTGACAAAGTTGTCCTCCCCCTCCCTCCCTGTAGTCTTTTGGGACAAGTGACAGGTCCCAGAAGATTACGTGACATTCACAAAGTGCAGCGGTTCTCGCACATGCGCAGTGATCATCCGACTGTGAAGCCGCAAGCTGTCACAGCCGGGTGCCCATACTGAAGATGCTGGCGCAAGGGAGAGAAGACAGCCGATGAAACCAGCCATGGTGAGGACACCGCTGGACCGAGGGACAGGTAAGTGACTGCATTTTTAAAAGTCAGCAGCTTTGTCACAGTTGTACTCCTGTACTGAAAATGCTTACTTTGATTTCACTGCACTCTGCGGGCTTCTCAGTGTGCATTAAAAGCTGTAGCAAGTCAAGTAGAACCTGTCTCATTTTCTGGCTGGAGTACATCCAGCATCAGCTAGCTCTTTTCTCCCCAGCCTTACTGTCTTTGACCTGCCGTTTTCATTCATCGTTGGATTTCAGTTATTTCAGTCGTGGAAACTCCTCCATTGTAAGTGGGCTTTACCTAATGCAGTCTGTAGGCAAATTCAGCCTAACTAGGTATGCACACTCCTTGACACTTACTCCATCCATCAAAGCATTTTGATATTTACTTAATACCTTCCGAGAGCCAGTCTGCTGCTTGCATCAGGGCTGTTGGGAGAAGTACAGAGACACAGTGCTTGGATGTTTCAGAAAGCTATGCACAGCACCCTGCCAACCACTTCCACCAGTCATGATCTGCCTGCATTGAGAGCCAGTGATAATAAGCACTGGGTCTAAAACAAGGTATGTACCGTATTTTCCAGCGTATGAGGCGACTTTTTACCCCTTGAAAATCTTCTCTAAAGTCGGGGGTCGTCTTATACACCGGTATACGGCATGCTGACACTTTTTTAGGGGGGGGGTGGCGTGGTGCCGCCGCCGCCCCCGCCCCCCCCCCCCTTTCCAACGGAAGGGACACTAAGTACAGGGGCAGGGGCTGCTGTCTCTTACCTGGCTCCAGGCCCACGACAATCTGGTCCAGGAGGCGCGGCTGTTCCTTCATTCGGTTTGGCCACTGGATGTTCGTGCGGCTGCTCGGCTCCGCCTCCTCACCGGTGATTGGCCGCCAGAACTGTAGCTCAGGAAAGGCACACAGGCGGCCAATCACCAGCGAGGAGGCGGAGCCGAGCGGCCCCGCGAAAATCGAGTGAAGGCGCGGCCGGTAAGTGTGCCGTCCAGAGGTGCTGCTGCAACCACATATACTGGCTGCTGCAGCAGCACCATACTAGAACAGGGGTCAGCAAGTGTAATTGGTGTTAGTGGGAGGAATAGTGCCCCATCATTGGTGTCACTGATACCAATGATGGGGCATTATTCCCCCCACTGACACCAACGATGGGGCACTATTCCTCCCCCCCCCACTGACAACAATAATGGGGCACTATTCTACCCCCCACTGACACCAATGATGGGGCACTATTCCACCCCCCACTGACCCCAATGATGGGGCACTATTCCACCCCCCACTGACCCCAATGTTGGGACACTATTCCTCCCACTGACACCAATGATGGGACACTATTTCTCCCACTGACACCAATGATGGGACACTATTCCTCCCACTGACACCAATGTTGGGACACTATTCCTCCCACTGACACCAATGTTGGGACACTATTCCTCCCACTGACACCAATGTTGGGACACTATTCCTCCCACTGATACTAATGATGGGGCACTATTCCTGCCACTGACACCAATGATGGGGCACTATTCCTGCCACTGACACCAATGATGGGGCACTATTCCTGCCACTGACACCAATGATGGGGCACTATATTCCTGCCACTGACACCAATGATGGGGCACGATTCCTCCCACTGACACCAATGATGGGGCACGATTCCTCCCACTGACACCAAAGATGGGGCACTATTCCCCCCACTGATACTAATGATGGGGCACTATTCCTCCCACTGACACCAAAGATGGGGCACTATTCATATATATCACATAGAATGGTGCAGCGCTAAATAATACACAGTTAATACACACAATATATTAGTGTGAGTTTGTGTGAATTTGTACACATGCATGATATCACCCCAATGGTGATCTGTGAATTCAAAAAGTTCAATATAATAGTGTGGATCGCGGAGAGATCCTAATTCAGGTGAGTGGACGTCCTGATCCAAGGTGTGATGATAAGTGTGAACCACACAAATAGGTGAAAAACGCACTCACCAGATGTGCGTTTAACATACGCAATATGTAAGCCTGCGTCACCAGGCCATAAAACGATCATCAGATCCCAGATCAGATTGCCCCCCCAGATCACCATCCCGGTTCCACAGAAGTAAGATCATCAGAACTGCTGCCAGGTATCACCACCAAGGGTCCAGAATCCTCCAGATGGGCACTGCGAATGATGATAGCACTCACACCGAGTGCCCAATAAGAGACCTCATAGTGTGATACTGCTTCAGATATCTTTATTCAGGTTGGTAGGTGTGGGGTACATGAAAAGATTATAGATATAAAGTTTACTGACCATACGTTTTCCAGGTGTCCACCCAATGGTGGTGAGGTGTCCTGCTTCTGCTGCCCATCTGACGCGTTTCGTGCGATGCACGTATTCATAGGGTTCAGGGCCAGCAACCAGGACATCTGTTTAGCTGCTATTTATATGTGTAAATGACACTTTAGCATCATGCGCCCGCCATCTTGTCGGCTATCGGCGCATGCGCAGAACATCGGCATCGTCTTTCCAAGCTGCTGCGCATGCGCGAACGATCGGCACCATTTTGTCGTGGATCGCGATGCGATCCACAGCAGGAAGTCCTCTACAGTGCGGCCGCCATTTTGTTGGCAGTATAAGGAGATAGAAGGAGTAGTATTAACTATTCCAGGTTGTTCTAGCAGAACCTTCCTATAGCACCTTTGGGACCCCTGTACTGACCAGGAAGATAATTACTTACACCTGTAGACTCTGGATTGGTGCACAGGGTGTAATTTTAAAAGTAATTAGAAGTGAAAAAAAGGTTGTTTTAAAACATGCGAATTAATATATATGTATATATTCATATAATATATAAAATCACTCCTATTTAGTTTATAATCAAAACAGGTAAAGGGTTAATGAAGACATAAATATTTTCCATGAGTATACAAATATAAATAGCGCACAGGATATATGATCAGATAAAAAATACAAGATATACATTAAAATTGGAATCAACCAGTACTATATGTAAAATATATATGAAAACATATGGTCATAAACTACAATCAAAATACAGAATACCGGATACATGATAAAAAAACACATAATAAAAGAATGTGATACTTAATCAATTATATCACAAAAAGGCCCATTAAAAGTTCATTAAAAAACTCCTTAAAACTCATTAAAAATGATGACGAGGAATAAGTGGTAGCATCAAAAGTTTGGCCCAATAATGTATGTTGGTAGCATATATATAAAATCATATTCATAATATTGGTATTTATTCATAAAATGCTCGTAAAGACTCAAATAGGAGATATATACATATATGTGAAGCGATTACTCTTATCGGTATGTTTACTGCATCGACAAATGACACATTTCTTGCAGGGGTGGAATCCTTTTAAATTGGTAAAACATAATTGTATTTTTGGGTGGATCTACTATATTGGGGGCAATCTTAATTCTAAGTGGTGCCACTTTCCTAAAAATAATTTCCGGTTTTCTCTGGCAATACTGTATTTAATATCGGATCAGATTTTAAAATCCCCCAGTTTTTATTGATAATGCTCGTGATCTTTTTGTATTGCAGAGAGTAATTCGTAATAAACGGACATATCTGTTTTGGTTTTAGTTTAGGGATGTTATTTAACATCAAATTTCTGTCTGATTTTCCTATGAGATCAATGGTTTGATCAAGGGTGGAACCATCATAGCCTTTTGCCACAAATTTATCCTTAAGAATCATGGCCTGTTTATAATAGGTCTCCACATTGGTGCAATTCCGCTTGATCCTGAAGAACTGACCCTTTGGTATATTGCGTAACCAAACAGGATGATGGCAGCTGTCTGTTGAAATGAAGCCGTTTCTATCCGTTGGTTTAAAATAGGTTTCAGTCACTATTTTTTACCGTTATAGTTTGTTAACACCAAATCTAGAAAATTAACACTGATTTGACTATATTCAAACATAAGCTTAATGTTTAAAGAATTAAAATTCAAGGTAATAAAAAAAATTTAAAAGGGCTTGTTCGTCCCCATTCCATATGAGGAGGATGTCATCAATGTATCTACGATAAAATGAAAGCTCGGGCCAGTCTCTTGCGTAGATGACATCCTCCTCCCACCTGGCCATAAACAAATTAGCTAGGCTGGGGGCAAACTTTGCCCCCATAGCTACGCCCTTTTCTTGCAAATAAAAGTTGTGGCCAAACCAAAAATAATTCCTCGTCATCGCAAAGTCTAATAAAGTTAAAATGTAGTTCTTATGTGAATCAGACATATGATTAGAATCACAATTGTTTAAAAAGAAACCAACAGCCTCCATCCCATCAGAATGCTTTATACTTGTGTACAGGGATGTTACATCTGCCGTAACCAAAAAAGTACCTTTATTCG